ACTATTGTCATTTTGCTAACGTACCACAACATTATACAACGTCTATTTCTATTTCTAGTGTACATCATTCTACAGTGAAAATATGGTTTTGTGCAAAAAGAGCTGGATGATGTTTTAGTGTTTCCTTGCAACTACTGGACCAATAACAGCAGTGCACACCTTCAAAATGTCCAATCAGGTACGACACAGGGCTGGTGTTTCCACTGAACGAACAAGTGCAACAGACCTCATTACTTTACTGTCTCATTGTCTGAGCAGCAACAATGATCACACTCATCACCACTCTTTGCCTATTTACTACAGGTGAGTGACATTTTGAATTTGTTTTTATAAAATATTATATAGCATATACCATATTAATACTACAACCAATGCTATAAAACCTCTATACACACTTTTTCAGTGAAAACTGGAATCTCTGGGCTTCAAGTACAAACTGTGAGGAGTGGAAATAATGTTGTCATAAAATGTGATGAAAACATTGTCAAAGACAAGAAAACTCATCTATTAGCTTGGTATAAACAGAGTTTAGGAAATGTGCCAGAGAATGTATTGAGACAGTTTGGAGATGGAGAGAAGCTCAGACATACATCAGGTTTTAAGGACGGCCGCTTCACTGTGGATGAAGAAGCATTTGATCTCAGTATAAAAGGAATAAAAGAAGAGGATGCAGCAACATATTTCTGTGGAAAAGTAAAGGCGAATGTTGTAGAGTTTGGATCTGCGACTCGCTTGTTCTTTCAAGGTAAACAGCTCTCTCTAACTTTAATATCTGTAACTGTTAATTCTATTTATTTTATTGCAGTTCAAAATTATATATGTTCATTTGTGTTTTACAGTGATCATTGTTAGTGTTATTTCTGACTGTTTGCTGTTTCTACTAATTGATTTTAAAGCTGAGACGATGGACCATCGTTCTCTGACTGAAATGGTGATCGAGACTGGAGAGTCTGTTACTTTCCAGTGTTCAGTACAATCTCTTACTCCAGACTGTTCAGGAGAACACAGTGTGTACTGGATCAGACATGGATCAGGAGAATCTCATCCAGGAATCATTTACACTCATGGAAACAGGAGTGATGAGTGTAAGAGAAGCTCTGAGACTGATTCTCCTACACAGAGCTGTGTCTACAAACTCCCCAAGAGAAACCTCAGCCTCTCTGATGCTGGAACTTACTACTGTGCTGTGGCTGCATGTGGGCGGATTCTTTTCGGAAATCAAACTAAAGTTAATGTAAAAGGTAAGACTTAGATAGTGATAGAATGTAGTTTCTGTTCTCTAATTTCTCTGCAGACTAAAGTTCAATTTTTTTTTAATCTTGTTTTAGAATATAACATCTGATTCTAATCCAAGGTATATATTTCTGATCTTTTCAGAAAATAACAGTTGGATTGTTACCACTTTGACAACATTGAATGTAATATCTGTTATTGTGATCATGGTTCTGGTAGGAGTTTTACTTAAGAATCAACGAAAAGGTTAGTTTCTGTTTTTACCCACTGTAAGCTGATCTCACCAAAATTCATATCACTTATTACACAAAAACATTAATTAAGATCATTATTTTTCTTTAAAGGTGCTTCCAACAGCCATCCAAGCCACACTAGTCAGGTAATCATGTCAATCATCTGCATTTATATGGCTGATTACAGAGGTTTTACTGTACTTATAATGCCTGTTCTCCATTTGGTCTGCATGAATTGTAATGACTCTTGTTGAATCTCAGGCTGAAGACACAGAGGTGTTAAACTATGCTGCCCTGAAATTTGCTAAGAAACCTCCCCCCTCCAGACCACCCAGAGTCAAGGAAAATCCAGTCCTGTATTCACAAGTCAAACACAGATGATAAGAAATGTGGTACAGACAGCATCACAACAACTTCACTTTTCTAATGTTTGAAATGAGAACATGTTTAAAACCAAGGTAAACTGATAATGTAAGCCAGTTTGCTACCTACTGCAGGCTGTCACCCGAATAAAACAAGTCTAATGCTGTAGCTGTTAGTGATAGCCAGCTAGCTAATTTAATAGGTCTAGCAGATTTTTCATCTTCAACAGATCGTTCAGCTAATTACTTTCTTAAACCCAGAGCAAAGCTTTTACATCTAAATGTGCTTCTGTGTGACACCCATGTATGTCTATGTGATGCTATAATGATCTGTTGTAAGACAGAGGTGTGTGTGTGTGTGGGGGGGGGTGTATGTGGGTGTGTGTGTGTGTGTGTGTGTGTGTGTGTGTGTGTGTGAAATGGCAACACTCAATTTTTAATGTGAGTGTAGGTAAATCAGTGAGATAAATTTATATCTGTTATTTCTGTTTTATCCATGAACTAGAAAATAGCTTGTTGGTTAGAAGTGTATTGTATTAAACATCATGATAATGAAGTTGCAATGACAATGATACACAAAAGCTAATGTTAATGACTTTAATAAAGAAAAGTGTGACAACACTGCATTAGAATTGTGGATAGTTATGGTGAAAAAGATTATTGTCTTTTTAATATATAATTATAATAGCTCAATTTACAATATTACTATTATATTTATTGTAATTATATAAATGTGTATATTATAAATGTATATATGTGTATGTGTGTATATTTACATTTCTTTGTTTTCACAGTAAGAACATAAAAAAAAAAAAATATCAGCACATTGCAACATATGTTAAGTAACATATACTTAACCCTAATTGTCTTGATGGGTTAGGTGGTATAAATCCCCACCTTCACCAAAAAATAATAAATAAACCTACACCCCTTAAGTCAGATAACCAAAGAAATATTACTATGCAGGAATCATTGTTTTAATTCACAACTTCTTCAGTCAGGCATGAATTCATGTATTCAGAACTACTTGTGGTAAAGTATGTATGGAATTCATCATGTAGTTGAGAGTGATTTCATTAATAATCAGTGTACAGATTTGTATTTCAATTGCAAAAGTCTTTATGTTTTTGTGAGTCATTAAAATAATAATAATTGATGGCTCATCCAAAAAAATGAAATGTATTTTATGAAGGTTTCATTTTTAGGTTTAATCCTGATTAAAATAAAAGAATAATTCTGATTAACTTTAATTAGACTTTAATGTCTTTGTACAGTATGTAAATTCCATTTAAATAAAACAGTTTGATCTATAAGGAGTGTGATCTATAAAGGCTTGTTGGTAAGGATGTTGCTGGAGGATATTAACCCCAAGTAGCAGAGCAGGAGACCTTCTTTTAAAAAGGGGACATGCTTTACTCTTTTTATTCACTTTATCATTGTTCCCTGTGCTCTTTGAGGGACAACTGTAACAAGAATAAAACCAGTATTACTTTAATTCAGCATTCATATGATGTGTTTTACGCTGTTACTAACTCTTCTGTGAATTAAGTCATTTCTGGGTTTTGATGTTTATGCTTATGACCTCTTATTGACTGTCTCAGTGGAGGGAGCAGGGTAGGGGGTGTGGTCACTGTGCCATGCTGGAGAGCTCAACAATGGCTGCCGCAGAGTGCAGAATGGAGAGACCATACATGTTTTAGTTTTTAACTTAATTTACACTAAGATACAGTTTACTGCTACATACAGTTTAGATTGTTAGATTTAATCCAAGAGTCTGTCTTCGTTGTGGGAGCCTTTTAGCTTTTTAGCTATATCCTCCACTTACTCTAGTGAGGGCAGAATATTTATTACACATAAAGTATGCCGACATCCACGTACATCAGGTAAAGAATTTCACATTTCCGTGTCACTTTTTTGACTAAAAGAGTGACACTGATCTTTTTCTACTGTTGACCAATAGAAACAGTCCAAAATTACCTGAAGTAGAAATGTTGTTCCTTGTTGTCTTCCATTGAAACTTAAGAATTTTTTTCCTTCCACTGTGAAATTAGCATTTTAAAGCCTCACTCACAATATTGAATCAGCCTTTAGTATAAAACATGCCTCACTTTACTTAGACCTGACAAATACAACTTATACAAGTTACAAGTTACAACTGTTAAGTTCTTATAATGAGTAACAATATTATATGTCTACCTATAATAATTTATATCAATAATGACAAGTATATACATTATGTGTGTGTTTATGACTAGGTAAGTTGTTAGTTATAATGCACTACGCAAGTTAGTAGTTTCTTTGCCACAGTATGACATATTATGAACACTGCTTTTGATGCCTTATGTTAACAATTCATAATGCAAAGTAAACAGGGCTACCAAGTGCAATGCATTTTTAAATTGTTTATAGCTATGTTTATGATGCCTTATGAATGCATTATCACATATTATGAATGTGTCCATAGATTCTTATAGGCATGCCATTCATAGAAAGTGTTATCAAAGTTTCTAGTCAGAAACACATTTCCGCTGTATTGTGCAGCCTGTATGCCCATGCCTGGTGCATTTAATTACCCAGCATATGGTGCATTTGGGGGGAGGGTGGCAGCCCAAGTGTTGAGATGAATAAGCACAAAATAAACTTGCCTTACTGTCCCTCGCTTGATAAAACTTGCAGGTGTATGTAGTGATAATCTTTTACAATCAGCATTTGGAGAATTTAGTGAATATATTGTAGATATCTGAGTTTGGTACTTGTTATTTTCTTATTGTTAAGTTAACTGCTAACAGCAAAGCATTTAGTAATGTTCGTCGGCATGTAGTTTAGCAGTTATAGCTGCCGTTTTAAAGCAGCTAAGCAGACACTGCTAATGTTGTCAAACTTGTTTTAGAAGATTAGCTAGAACATAGATACGCATTCAAAGGTTAAATGTATAAAGGGTAAATGTATGAAATGATACTGATATGCTGGTCCTGTGCTCCAGATTTGAAATGATTAGTAGAAAACTGAGAACCTTAAAAAGAAGGAAACAGTGTTAGATGTGTGCATGAACAGAGCTGAAGACTGATGAAACACTATAACACTGAGGATGAATTGATAATAAATTAATATCCAGATAGAGTTCAGAACAGAAAATAATTGTATACTGTATATTGTATAATCTATATTACCAATGCTAATGAAAGCATTGCACACTTTTTCAGTGAAAACTGGAATCTCTGGGCTTCAAGTACAAACTGTGAGGAGTGGAAATAATGTTGTCATAAAATGTGATGAAAACATTGTCAAAGACAAGAAAACTCATTTATTAGCTTGGTATAAACAGAGGTTAGGAAATGTACCAGAGCCTGTATTGAGACAGTTTGGAGAGGGAGAGAAGCTCAGATTTGCATCAGGTTTTAAGGACGGCCGCTTCACTGTGGATGAAGAAGCGTTTGATCTCAGTATAAAAGGAATAAAAGAAGAGGATGCAGCAACATATTTCTGTGGAAAAGTAAAGACGAATGTTGTAGAGTTTGGATCTGCGACTCGCTTGTTTTTTCAAGGTAAACAGCTCTCTATAACTTTAATATCTGTAACTGTTAATTCTATTTATTTTATTGCAGTTCAAAATTATATATGTTTATTTGTGTTTTACAGTGATCATTGTTAGTGTTATTTCTGACTGTTTGCTGTTTCTACTAATTGATTTTAAAGCTGAGACGATCGACCATCGCTCTCCGACTGAAATGGTGATCGAGACTGGAGAGTCTGTTACTCTCCAGTGTTCAGTACAATCTCTTACTCCAGACTGTTCAGGAGAACACAGTGTGTACTGGTTCAGACATGGATCAGGAGAATCTCATCCAGGAATCATTTACACTCATGGAAACAGGAGTGATAAGTGTAAGAAAAGCTCTGAGACTGATTCTCCTACACAGAGCTGTGTCTACAAACTCCCCAAGAGAAACCTCAGCCTCTCTGATGCTGGAACTTACTACTGTGCTGTGGCTGCATGTGGACAGATACTGTTTGGAAATCAAACTAAAGTTACTGTACAAGGTGAGACTTTTGATAGAATAGAGCTTCTGTTCTGTGATGGAGTTTATCTGCATGTTAAAGTTGTACTAAGACAAACATTTGTTTATAAATACATCATCTGATATTACTACAGGATTTGTGTTTATCATTTCAGAAAATAACAGCTGGATTGTTATTATCTTGACAACAGTGAGTGTAATATCTTCTGTTGTGATCATGATTCTTCTTAAGAAGCAACAGCATGGTACATTTTTTATTTTTAGAGCTACTGTATAATTATTTTACCAGAACTTAAATAATTTAATACATGTAAACATTACTTCTCTTATTTTGTTATGTTTGATATTTTTCTGTAAAGGTATTTCAAATGGCTGGCCAAGCCACATTAATCAGGTAATCACATCTACCATCTGCATTCTTTACATAAATACACATTTGTTCTAGAATTTGTATAATGTTTGATAAAATTATCACTAAATTTCTACAAAGTTTATATTATTTTAACAGTACTTATAACACCTGCTCTCCATGTGGTCTGTAATGGATTGTAATGACTCTTCTTGTATCTCAGGCTGAGGACAGAGATGTCTTAAACTATGCCACCCTGAATTTTGCTAAGAGAGTGAAGGAAAGTCAAAACCTGTATTCACAGGTGGAATATAGCTGTTGGGAAACGGTACAGACATCGAGCATCTCCACAACAGAATTATTCTCAGATTCTGAAGAACATTTGTATTCAAATACAATTCAATAATGTTCATCAAGCAAATCAGACCACCGAAGAGACACAATTAAACAATAATAATTGTTCAGTCAGTCAAGTAATCAATCAGAACTGGTTGTGGTAAAGTTTGACCAACATGCCACTTTATTGCTGTAGTGGTGGAGATGGGGATTTTTGCATGTACACGTGTAATTCATGACATGCGTAATTCAAAGTCACTTCATCTATAAGCAGTGTACAGACTCATTTGTATACAATGTGCAAAAGGGAGTGTCTTTTCTACTTTTTTTGTGAATACTTTCAATAAAATCATGGATGGTTCATGCAAAAACATGTAACATATTGTGTGTAGCTTTAATTATAAGTTGAATTCTGATAACCACAAAATAGTTATTCAGATTAACTTTTATTAAGTTTGTAAAAGATTTTTGTATATTCCATGTCTTCATAAACATAGCACCAGATTCTCCAGAGATGTAATGAGTGGAATGAAAACTCTAGCACTGCAAATCTTCACATAGCAGCTTTTAAAAGCAGATGTTTTCATATTTGTGTTCTCTTCATTATATTTCTCTGTGAAGAGTATAAAAAATAATACCTTAATTCAGTATTTGAATGATGTACCATCTCATCTGCTTCTCAGTGAAGACAAGGTATTTTGCTGTGTGTCGATTTTGATTTCATTGGCTTTATCAGATGAGGGGGCGGGTAAGGGGATGTGTCCATTGTACAGTGATGAGCTCTGCAGTGGTTGCAGATGATCACATAATAAAGAGACTATAGGTTTGACTTTGTAACCCTTTCCTATCTGAGAAGAACATTTGATTTTTTGACCACATTGCATGCTGACACAGATAAAACCTTGTCATGTTATTATGATGCATATCAAATACAATGTATACATGCTTAACTTAGTGGTTGCTGTATGATTGTGATGTTTTCATTTCATTCTATTTGTATTTGCAAAGTCAATGTGCATGCCTAAACTAAAATAGATTACCTAGCTAAGGTGCCATCTAAAAATACTCCCAGCACCCTTTCAAAAGACTACAAACTTTTTTTGTTAATCAGTTTCTGCTTACAGAAAGTAAGCTAATTGTTAATTGAACTTAACTTATTTGAAGTGCAATGTACTTAAGATTTTAAGGCAACCAGGTTACTAACTTAAAGTTCTAATCATTTCTACAGTGTGCGTTAAAAACTCTGTGCAGCCTCCCTTTGCAAAGACACATGCAATCTCTTTTTGTTCTGGATGAGGAGGGCCACATAGGTAGGAACCTCAGGCCTTTCCCCCAGCCAAAATCCTTCCAAGTTGTTCAGAGTTCAAGCTACTTGCTTTTACACTTGTTTAGTAAAGTCTTCTTACATGTTTTTAGGGTTTTTCATTTTATTCACTATGCAGAATTATGTCCCACACGTCTTTGTAGAATTGCTTTAATTCAGTCATACTAGAACACTTTCATGCTTTAGCTGTCCATTTAAGGTCTTGCCACAGCATCTCAATGGGTCAAGTCTTTGACTAGGCCGGTCCAAAACCTTTTTTTTTTTCTTTTGATCCATTCAGAGGTGGCTTTACTCTTGTGCTTACTCTTGTAATTCTCTGTCTTGTTACATAACCCGATTGCGCTTGAGCTTCAGATCACAAACTAATGATCAAAGATCCTCTTGCAAGATTTTCTGGTAGAGAGCAGAATTCATAGTTCTGACAATTATGGCACATCACTCAGACTCTGAAATAGAAAAGCTTCCCCACACCATCACACTACCACCACCATCTCTGACTGTTGGTATGATGTTCTTAATGTGGAATGCTGTCTTAGCATGTCCCAGATGTACTGAGACCCCTGTCTTTCAAAAGGCTCCACTTTGACTCCTCAGTGATGAATAATACAAAAACAGAAGAAATCAGGAGCAGGCAAATACCTTTTTAATGACACTGCATTTGTTGCCAGTGTTTATGTTTAACAAATTCCAGGTGCTTATGTGTGGGTTGGATGACAACAAAGGATTTATTCTGGCAAGTCTTTAAAATAGCTTGTTTGCATGGAAGTGGCATTTAGACTTGACTCGAGAATCCAGAATCTAAGTACGGCCCACGGCGAAAGTGTTGAACTTTCCCTTTCTCGCTATGCACTGTGGGGACAAACCACATCCATCCTTCTACATGCATGTTAATCACAGCACCACTCGTTTGAAACTTCCTAATTATTGCTGTAGTAGTGGAGATAGGTATTTTCAGGTGTACAGTTAGTTGTAAATCCCTTTTTTTTAAAGATCAACAACTTTTTCTCCTTTCATTAATGTGTTTTCTGATCTTTCTGATATTTCATGGATGACTGTCATGAAAGGACGACTGCAACACAGCAACAGTACCAGGACAACCACTTTGTTTGCTCATCTCCACCATAATGCAAACTGAAGTGCATAGCTTATGGTATACAAACTGAAACGCTATCTATACGTATCATTACGCAAAAACTCTACACCAGTGCCTGAGAGCACAGCTGTGTAAAGAGTGGATTAAGTCTTCATTTTCATTACAAGCAAATCACTTTTCTCATGAAAGTGTCAAGGCTACCCCAGAGTCCTGATGAAACATGGATGACAGCAAACCTTGTGCACTTAAAACCTTGATACTGCATTTTGTCCACGCTGATTTCAGCTCAACAGGAGATGAGCATGAGGATGATTGCAATTGTGCTAGCTTAGTCTTGCTCTCTATGCTCACTATTTACACCAACAGTATAGTGTGTTTTTTTTTCCAGTTCCAAGTACAGTGGAGTGTTTTTTTTTTTTATTTATTATTATCATTATTTTTTTGTAGTTATCACTTTTAAGAATACACTGATCAGACATAACATTATGACCACCTCCTTGTTTCTACGCTCATTGTCCATTTTATCAGCTCCACTTACTATATAGGTGCACTTTGTAGTTCTACAACTACAGACTGTAGTCCATCTGTTTCTCTGCATACTTTGTTAACCCCCTTTTACCCTAATCTTCAGTGCTCAGGACCCCCATGGACCCTCAGAGAGCAGGTACTATTTGGGTGCTGGATCATTCTCAGCACTGACGTGGTGGGTGGTGTGTTAGTGTGTGTTGTGCTGGTACGAGTGGATCAGACACAGCAGTGCTGCTGGTGTTTTTAAACATTGTGTCCACTCACTGTCCACTCTATTAGAGACTCCTGCGTTGTTGGTCCACCCTGTAGATGTAAAGCCAGAGACGATAGTTCATCTCTTGCTGTACAGTATGAGCTAATAATCCTCTAGTTCTTCATTGGTGGTCACAGGACACTGTTGACTGGATATTTTGGTTGGTGGACTTTTCTCAGTCCAGCAGTGACACTGAGGTGTTTAAAAACTCCAGCAGCACTGCTGTGTCTGATCCACTCGTACCAGCACAACACACACTAACACTCCACCATCACATCAGTGTTACTGCAGTGCTGAGAATGATTCACCACCCAAATAGTACCTGCTCTGTGAGGGTCCATGGGGGTCCTGACCACTGAAGAACAGGGTAAAAGGGGGCTAACAAAGTATGCAGAGAAACAGACGGACTACAGTCTGTAATTGTAGAACTACAAAGTGCACCTATATAGTAAGTAGAGCTGATAAAGTGGACAATGAGTGTAGAAACAAGGAGGTGGTCATAATGTTATGCCTGATCGGTGTATAATGGATTGTGTTAAATAGGACTACGGAAACCATTTGTTTTAGAGTCCAGTATCACACATTTTATCACATGAAATCCAGCCGTGTTTCACAGAGCCTAAAATTTTTCAAACCCCATAGCAAAGAAATCATGAATATTCACGTGTCCCCTACTTCGGTGTGTGTTGGCAATTCCTACATCACATTCAAAATTTAACTGAATTGTTCTCATCAACAAAGAAATAATTAATCAGTAGCTAATCTTTAGACAACCATGCTTTAGCCATCTGTCTCTTCTCAGTGTCTTACAGTGCATGAAGCAAAGGTCTGAGGCTCACATCCTGACAATACGTTAAGTAAAACCAATTAATGGTCTGAACAGCATGGTTTGTGCAGCAAGATAAGGCAACATAACATTCCTATGAGACGCTGACCCTTGCAAATAAGAAAATGCTTCTGCCCACTTCACCCTCTCTGACCTTGATTTTCCACTTTTAAATAGCCACACTGCTTCAGCTTTCTTTCTGGGACATGTGAAAGCACCTGCCACGTGGTACTATTTCCTCAGTACTCCTGGACCAATCACACAAGTCTGTTTTAAAATGGCTATTCAGCTCACACACAAAGTCTCTTTTGCTCCTGAACAGACACAAGCTCAGTCCAGTAGATCTCTCTATCTTATCATGAAAGCAGTAACCAAAGCAATGATTAGAATCTGTCTCACATTTTGCCTCTTCATAAATGGTAAGTGATTTTGGAAAAGATTAATACAACCAACTACATATAAATAACTGCTTTATTTTTCTCATTAAACTGGTTTTTTTTTTTCCTTCAGTGAAATCTTCCGAAGTTGCTGAGCTCCAAGTACAACCAGTAAGTGAGGGAGATAATGTGACAATAAAATGTGACCAACAAACAGCAAAAGGCAACAAAAATGGTTTAGTCTGGTATAGGCAGAGTTTTGGAAATGTGCCTCAGTATGTTGTGAGAACATTTGAGCACGACAACAAGCACAGATTTGCTCGAGCATTTGAAAACGGACGCTTTACCATGACCGTGGACGAAGAAAGGTTTGATCTCAACATATATGGAGTCAGCAGGAACGACATAGGGATGTATCTCTGTGGAAAAGGCAAGTCGAATGTTGTGGAGTTTGGATCTGGGACTCTTTTGGTTTTTGAAGGTAATGATATGCACATGTATTCATTAATGTTTTGTATAGCCTTCTTTCATTTCCTTGCTGCTTTTACTCGTTTCCTTTTTATTTATTAATGTACGAAGACCAATCACCATTCTGTGTTCACTTGTTCCATACAAGTTTTTACTTCGACCTCTGCAGGAGACTGCAGTATGTATCGGCTCAAACATGGCTCAGAAGAGTCTAATCCAGAAATCAATGAGACACAAGGAATCAGGAATGATCAGTGTGTAAGGATTTCTGAGACTGATTCTCCTACACAGAGCTGTGTCCACAAACTCCCCAGGAGAAACCTCAGCCTCTCTGATGCTGGAACTTACTACTGTGCTGTGGTTCCATGTGAGGAGACAGTCTTCAGAAATGGTAGTTTGGAAATGAAAGGTAATCAATTCAGTTACAGATAGAATTACAAACATAATTTTACCAGATTTATTTTTTGAGTGTCTTTTAATACCTGTAAACAGCTTTATAAAATGACTTTATTTTTCTATACAGGTGATGACTGCACTCAACGGATGTATGTGTTGTTTTGTCTTTCCATTTTAAGAGCTGTAATCCTTATTGTTCTTGTTGGTGTGCTGACAGTACTTCATAGAGATACCATATTTAGAAAATTACATTTGCCAAAAATCATTTGAGCCAAAAAATATTCCTTCACAACATGCATACATATTTGTTATACCTGTTGCCAATCTGCTGTGACATTTAACTGGTTTCTAGCTTGGTCGCCTGTTTCAAGTTTGTTTAGATGAAGCACAGTGAATCACTTCTATGTGAATCAGTCATTTCTTGTAGTTTAAAGGCATCAGGTCATGCATTCTACCTTTGGGTTTCTGCATTTCTCCACTCTCCTGTTCATTATTCATTCCTATTCATTCAGTCAGAGTTGGGCCAGTTTACTGAATTAGCGATGCCACTGATTTACTGTATTCTTTTCCAGCTTCCTTTTAACATTTTTACCTCTGACATTAACCTTGTTGAAGAAAAGAGAGTCATAATATACAGATACTGAGGCAATGTAGTTTGATATATGAAATCTATGAAATCTTTGAATCAAGCAAATCTATAAATGTTATATCTGTTTATGCTTCTTGTCTTTTAAATAAACTCCAAAATTCCTTTAATGTCCATTGTGAGGTTATTTTGTTTACACACACACACACACACACACACATATATATATATATATATATATATATATATATATATATACAGCGAGAGAGAGAGAGAGAGAGAGAGAGAGAGTACTGTGTAAGCCTCCTTCTAGGCTTGACCAATGAATAGGCATAATGATAAGGTTGGTTCTAGGAGTAGTCAACCTTAACTAATATGAATGAGGAGACTTTGTAAAGTAACAAACTTACTGTCTTGTATTTTTGGTCGACACATGAAAATCCGAATTTTTACTGCTTTTTTTTGTTGTAGAACAAATTTGTAGAAATAAACAAAAGAACAAAATAAAGTACTTGATTTCTCACAGAACAACGACTGATACATCAAAATGAATCATTTTAAAATGGTTCAATCTTGTTTTCTTGTGGTCTTTGAGTTTTGAGTTCTTCTATGTTTACATTTCTCTTATGTAGAGGGTTTCATTTTAGGACAGTTTGATTCACTTTGGTTGTCATTTTCTCCTCTCTTTAGGGTCTTTCTAATTAAAAATTTCATTGTCAGCTTATTTTTTCCACTTAGGTTTTAAACTTAGTATGTTAAGTATTTGTTGCCATAATTATTTTATGTTGCCCTTTAAGTTTTTAAAATATTATGAAGTTAAAGCCTTTAAGTTTTCAAAATATAACAGAGTTTTATCACCAAAAGTGTTGAATATTTCCTTTCCACGTTAGCTCAAAATCTAACCATCAATTCACCCAGAAGAGAGGAAAAAAAAACTATCAACAGTACAGTAACTGAATCTCAGTTCACAGCTCACACAGTAATCTTTAAAGTTATAGCCTTAAAGGATAGGGCTGTCCTCAAAACAGGTGGAAAAAAAATAAAAACTTCAGCTTAAATCCAATTGAATAGACTCCTGCTTGAAGGAATTTTTCATGAATCAAAGTCTGTCGTACCATATCAGCTTTGACTTTAAAACAGTTCTGATTCACAGAAACTCAATGAATCTACAGTCAGCCCCTGCAATTATTCAAAACCTGCGGGTGGCTCGCCATCTTGGCCCTCTCACGTAGCAAAGCAATGTTCATGTGTGGCCAAGAGAAGGGGGGACAAAAAACCTGACCTTTGATAAACAGCGTTGTGTTAGAACATAATTTCATTTACATTTATATAATTTACAACAGTTCTAGTAACAGCTCTTTACACAGCTTTACACATTCAAAATGGCGGGTTCATTGCACAAAAGCATCTCTGGTATCACACAAGCAAAATCACACAAATCTCAACAATTACAATGTAAATAAAAAAAAATTTAGAAACTTTACACACGCAATTTACCTTTTAGCTTGTAATTTCTTACTTTTATCACAGTACGTTTCGTTTTGAGTTTGTAAAAAGTTCAGTTTTATCATTAGAAAACTTTTTAAACTTACCAAACTCTTTTTTCATCAATTTTACAGCACCATCCAATATCCAGATAAATGACTGCAGTTTTAAATTGAAGTATCACGCTATTACCAAAGCTTAGTCACTGATAAATTCATTTTTAATCTCTTTCTCTCATAGCAGTTTCCCTCCACCAGCTCTACTTCTCAGTGTCTACATAAGGAAAGGTGGGGCTATGCTAATACAAATAAGGATCTCATTATTTCTCACATTTGCATCTTACTCTTAAAGGAACATTAACCTATTTTCATTTGTAGGTGAGAGTAACCGCTGGGTTACTAGTGGTCCAAAATGGTTATTTCTATAAGGGCTCTTATTCTGAAACCTTCTTTGATTGTGTTGATGCTTAGTTTAGCAAGAGAATGAGTAAGTCTATCAGCGCCAGCCTACCAGTGAGACATAGCTTAGTCTTAAAGCGCTCTGTTGGCATTACTCTTCCATGTGTAGGCAAGGCTGGAGCCAGAGTCAGTGTGTGGAAAAGCTGTGTGCCTCCTTTCGTAGTCACAGAATGCTACATTTTCTGTCAGAACATTACAAACTCACAATGGAAGATATTACCTATTCAGCTGCTATCACCTAGACTAAGCTGCCTGGCTTAGGACAGAGATGGAGTGCACAGTTTGTGTCTTCAGTAGTGCCACAGTGCTGCAGCATTGGAGGTGAGTCATGCTACCTGGGAAAGCCATGAGAGAGCAGTGTGTTGAAGGGAGAGCTAGAGTGGCACCCATGTTTACAGGCCTAGTTGCACGGGTCACGCCAATTCCCATGCTCGCATTGTCAGAGCAAGGCCCGGGTGCGGAGGAGGGAGAGGATGGCGGTGCACACAAGCAACACATTTTTGGCCATATAGTTTACTATAGGATTGTGTGTTCACAAGTAAATAATAGATAAACATTACTGTTAAAAACCCTTTGCACTCAAAAACGGTTAAATGATTTTTTTAATGGTTAACTCCTCTTGGACAATAAATTATGATTAAATAGACTGATATTTTTAGCAAATATGTTACTATAGCGCAGAGTTCACATTTTTTTCCATTGACACGTTTCTCAGTGTATCTGAAAAAAGCGATTTGTGGGCCGCTGTGTAGCAGCTTAGTTTTGCATGTCAAAAAATACTTTGAACCTGTCAGGGTCCACTATAAAAATATGCTAATGACAGGATGTGGTGATAAGAGCTGCAGGAGGTGCCATGAGACCAGCACTCACACCCCAAGCACCAATGAGAGTTGTGGGAAGCAGTCTGAGCCCGCGCTGCTGATGTCAAATCAGCATCAGCTGGCTCTCAGTAAGGGCAGCATGAGCACCTTAGGGCTTAGGCGCTAACCTCATGCCACGACTCACTGGCATCTGGCACTGCTCTTGTAGCAGGTAGCATGTTACTGCAGTAGCTTAGCACGCTACAGTCTTAGTACAGGTTCATTCCAGTTCATTGAAGCCTCACTGATGCAAGTTTGGAGAATAATAACACAAAATCTGAATGAGTAAATCTGTGTTTTTGTGTGTGGAGCTGTTTAAACTACTTATAACCTGGTTAGCACCAGAGGATGAACATGAGTTACGTGAGAAGTCTAAACCACCAGCAATTTGAGCTCACTAGAACAGCACGGAGGCAACTTTACAGGACAAATACTCAATCTGATCGACTGAATTTGAGTGTCTGGTTTAGCAGTGGGGCAGCAAGGGGCTGTTTGCAATTTGCACAATTGAGCATTTTCATAGACCCTCACAGTTTGAATAACTGTTGACATTTAGAGACTTTTTAGTAGATTTTTGGGCATGACAATAATACATAAAACATGGTTAATTAGTTTATTATTATACACAGATTGTTTTTACTGTTTTAATTTATGGCTTTAAGGGTCTAATTCTTCACTGTTAAAATACACAATAATCCGTGAACATGGTCCTGTTTCTTGTTTTATTTCTTCCTTTATAGAATGATGCTATCAGTCTTTGCTGCTGGCATACTAGAATATCACATGGCATCAGGGCTTGTGGTCAAAGTGTTAAACAGAAGCTGTTTAGCCATGAAGGTGTTAACGTGATAGTGTGAATATGTTGCATGTTGTCAGGGGCCACTGTTATTTTTTTATCATCTGTGCATGTTTCTTAATTCTGTCTTGCATCGCCAACTGCATTGCATTTTGATCTGGCAGCTTCTCTATAGAGACACATTTTGCTATCTTCCTTATAAATTTCCTTGGATCTAAAATAAGGTTATCAGTCTAGACCACAAGTATTGAATTCCAATCTCTGAGGGCAATTTTATTCATTCTTTGCTCCAAAGCAACCACTGTTCCTGGCAATCAACTGATGAGTTCAACTGATGAGTTCAACTAGGTGTGTTTGAGCAAGTAAGTCCTCAAAATGTGCTGGCTGTGAGACAAAAAAGGCCATATGGGACTGTATATTAGTAATAAACCTTTCAAAACTATCAAATCAACCTGCATTTACCCTCTATTATAATGGCTTCTCAATGGAAGGTGAATTCCAAACCCAGGCCAGCAGCAGTTGGCTACTTAATGTATCTGGAGCCTTCATTCCTGGCTGAGGAACTGAAAACAATGGTACACAAATGAAAACCTAGCTAACTCCTTCCCCTAGATACCAGTCATAGCTTAACAACTGTGACTAGACATGGCAACTTCTGGCAAGCTTTCAGAATGATCTCTCACTTAAACAAACATTGACAGTTTCCAGACTGGCTGTTTGATGTAGAAAAAAGCCCAACGGCCCAATATTGCCTTTCAGCAGAAAAGCCCTACTTCTTACTCTATAACAGCAGTGTGAATATCCCTTGAGTGCATGGTCCCTCATGAATCCTGAATAAAGTTAAAGTTGTCTATGTGTAGCTATTTTTGCTTACCCTGTAGGTAGGTTGTAAATCAATTTACCTAAATAATAAAATAACAACAGTTAATGGATAATTAAATTAAAATGCCTAATGGTAGAAAAACCTCTGGGATTATATTTGAAGAGAAATTAGTCTTAATGTAACCTATGAAGTTAGATAGCTTATTTACACTGCTGTGTGGTAGCTAGGCGAGTCTTGCTAACAGCTATTCCTGGTATACTCACTACATTAGAGTAGACTTCCCCACTGCTGAAATGCCCTTGATTTGAGAACCACAGACAGGATTCTTATGACATACTTAATTTTGTGTGTGCATTATCACTGTGTAAAGACAACAGCAACAGTGTGAACTTAGCATCCAACTATTTGTGAAGTGTTATAAACAAGAGATTTTTACTGTGAAACTAATACGCTGTCAAATTACCTGTCATTTAGAAGTAATGCAGCCTGGGACCCACAACTTTTTTGCTGTATTTGTACCTCTTTGCATATATTCTAATGATATATGATGTTATATAAGTACAAACTCACTCATAAGCTTGTGAGATCTAACATCTAGTTTTTTAAAGTTCCTAAATGTTTAGAAGCTGTTTATACTTTAACAGGTGTTTCATGTGTAGATTGTATCTGGATTTACACTTATCATTAAATGTGTCTCCAGATGAGATCTAATTTACTTCCCTGTCTAAAAACCAAAAGTGTTGACTCGAGTCACATACCTTGGACTTGAGTCAGACTTGAGTCACATATTTGATAGGCCGAGACTTGACTCGACAAAATCAAAACAGATTTGCAGCTTGACTTTGACTTGAAACCTTGAACTCAGAAAGACTCAAACCCAAGTGGAAGAGACATGGAGAAGCATCTGGCTGCAAATGGGAAGTTGCTTTTCATGTGAATGTATTAGTTTCTTGCTAGGCCTGCCAGAACTGCATCAAATGTAAATTTAACACACAGCAACATTGTTAAATGTCTGTTACTGTGCTTATGCTTGGCTTCATTTCATTTCAGAAGTCAAGTGTGAGAATTCAAATTCACCTCAATGACCAAGCAAAGCATCTATAGCATCAATAAAATCTACTTTTGCATTCCACCTTAAATGGTGCAGAGGTTACATTCTGGCAGCTCTGATCCCATGCTCCCTTTGTGAAATCCAAAAATCCCAAGTTCAATAATACAATAGTACTGAAGATTATTTTCATGTGCAGTTGCACTGTTCTTTGTGTATACTGTTGTGCCTGAATGGTTATCCCTGTACTATGGATTAAGTCATTTTTTGAAAGGATAATTTACAGAAATACAGAAAAATATAGAAAAAAAAAACAAAAACACTTAATACACTATTATACGTTACTAGCGCACTGTCATTAAATGGGCTATATTGCTGTTACCCTCATTTTTTGGTAACAACTGTTTAGTGATGGCAATGGTAATGACATTAAATCTGCTGAAGAATGCATACTGGTTTGTTTAGAACTCAGGTCTTGACTTGGGACTTGACTCGAGACTCAAGTGCCAGGACTTGAGACTTACTTGTTACTTGCAACTCAGTGACTTGTTCCTACCTCTGGTAAAAACACATCAACACATGCATCCTTTCTGATTTACTTCAGCCCCAACCACCACCCCTTTGAAGATATGAAAAAGGCTTTGCTATCACTGGTCCAGTAAAAATCCAGTAAAAAATCATGGGTCTCAGTCTGCTTCTAAAATGAACGCTGCTTCAGTTTGTTGTTGGTAGGAAGATATTTTTATGATGGTCCAAATCAAACGAGAGAACTCAACACTATGCTTTTCTAATTGCACATCAGTGCTTTACTGTCTGCATAATCTGTTTTAACATTTTACTCTTTACAAACGCTCATATCATGCTTGCAGCATGAGCTGCTGTTAATACTTGCAAAGCAATGAAAACTGCAAAGATAAGCATTTGATTTTGGCACAAGGATGGCGAAGCATATTTTTTGGCCAAGCAACATGTACCTAATTAAATTCAAATGGAAAAATCAATCATTAAAAAGCTGATATCAAGTAAGGTGTATAATGATTGCTTTGAATGTGATCAACGTAAACGTTATTCATCTCTAGTTTTATCTGTTAATATGTTAATGTTACCCAAGACCAAGCAATGATCTGAGCTATACATTTTACAAAGTGGCAGTATATGGCAGTATAACATTCTTATTAGATGCAGAAAAATTACAGGCTCAAATAAGAAAATGTTCCTCTGCTTCACTCTGTTTGAAGCTATTTCCGTCTACTTCTTGTGGGGCATGAAATAGCACTCGCCACATGATATTATTTCCTCAACACTTAGACCAATCAAAACGACTCACAGCTCTAAAGTGTCTATTGAGGTCATACATGAGGCCTCTTTTACTACCAGGGCATTAGATCTCACTGTCCCTCTGTCTAAACAGCAGCAATGATCAGATTATTTTTCTTTTCTTTGTGCTTCTTTGAAACAGGTAAGTTGTATTTTGAATGGTGCATGTGTTTATATCACAAATAAACTGTTTAAGAACTGCTACATGTAAATAACTTTTGTTTCAGTGAAAACGTCTGACATCGTTGATCTTCAAGTACAAACAGTGAGGCGGGGAGACAAAGTGACAATAAAATGTGACCAAAAAGCAGCTAAAGATGATTTATTATTTTGGTATCAACAGAGTTTAGGAAAGCTGCCTCAGTACATCGTGAGACCATTTCTGACAGAAGGAAACTCTCCTCAAGAATCTAAAAAAGAAGTGAGGTACAGATTTGGTCGAGCATTTGAAAACAGCCGCTTCACTGTGGATAAAGAGACATTTGATCTCAGCATTACTGGAGTCAAAGAAGAAGATATAGGAATATATTTCTGTGGAAATTCAAAATCAACTGTTTTAGAGTTTATATCTGGAACGCTTCTGCTGTTTGCAGGTAACTGTGTGCTGTGTGTTATGTGTGTTGTAATTGTGTTATTGTTGTTTGTACTGATCACTGATAGTAGCATTGTTTCTCTTTATTTTCTACATTTACTGATCTATTTTAAAGATGAGAAGACTGACCATCATCCTCCACCTGAATCTGCTATCAAGAATGAAGAACCTGTTAAACTCCAGTGTTCAGTACAAGCAGTTACTCTGAGCTGTTCAGGAGAACACAGTGTGTACTGGATCAGACATGGATCAGGAGAATCTCATCCAGGAATCATCTACATTCATCCACACACCAGTGATGAGTGTGAGAAAAGCTCTGAGACTGATTCTCCTACACAGAGCTGTGTCTACAAACTCCCCAAGAGAAACCTCAGCCTCTCTGATGCTGGAACTCACTACTGTGCTGTGGCTGCATGTGGAGATGAAGCTAAATCTACTGAAAAAGGTAAATAAAACTTCAGCTTTTGAAAACATAAAATGTAACTTCATATTCATTGGCAGAATCTAATTTATAGAATCTTGTTGCATTACATTGTGTGTATCTATCTATCTATCTATCTATCTATCTATCTATCTATCTAGCTGTTTTCCATGCAGGTGACGTCTGCTCTGTGTGGCTCTTCATTGTCAAAGTTGTAGTCCTTGCTGGTCTTTTTGTTACACAAACAGTGCTTCATATTTTTATTCTATTTAGCCAAAAGTAAAGACGTTTTAAGTGGAGACACTAAATACTGATTTTAACAGACAAATATATTTATTGTACCTCCTAATAATGTTATATTGTACAATTGTGATTTCCAGTATAAATGACTGTACAAAGTTTTGTTTGCTTTTTTATGAGTGTTTTGAGCTTCAGTCAGTGATGTAGCTTCATTTGTCCGACTGAAGCAATGACTTAGCTTTTCAACCATTTAAGACTGTTTTAGTGTTCATTTTTTACACTATGTATCATGCTTTATTAATGATTCTTATGCCTAATTAGTGATGCAACCAACATGCTGATTATTCTTTATCAGCTCTTTTTAACATTTCACTTCTGAAAAAGAACTCTACACACGTGTCAGTGTCAATAACAACTCTTTAACTGTATAGTGAAGATGTTTTCTTCTTGTATTTTGTTTGTAGGTTTGTTTTTTATTATTTTGGTTCATGTTTGAAAATGCTTTGCATATTACAGAAACTGGGCCATCATTGCTATGACGAGCAGCTTAGACATTTTGTCTTTAGGTCATCTGTCTAATGTGTAGAAGAGTGAGATGTTTCTGGGTGGAGAATAAAGTTTTGCTGAACTCTGTATATAAATATTGACTCAACTGTGATTTCAACTAAATTAAACTGTGCTAAACAGATTTAAATGTATCAGTCACTGAATGAAACATCTGCCATTGTTTTCTTTGTTTCATCTTTAGAATAAATGTTACAAAGATATTCTGCTGTCCAGTGTGAGGTTGTTTCGTTAGTAACTCATCAGATAATCATACTACTTTTTATTCTGTGCTGAAAAGCTTATTGTTAGGCCCACATACACCTCGGAAATGTATACGATAAGAATAACATATTATTCTGACTAGACTATGAACGTCTTGTTCCAGTAGAGATTATCACTCATTCTTTGAAATGATTTTATACAAAGACTTCAGCCCTCATTAAATGGGCCACTACCCACCCCACTCTGCGTCTCTGAACTGTTAGGACTACAGAAACACACATCACATACAATTCACAAAGAACTATAAAACTGCTTTACTGACTGCTAATAAAGGTTGAAATCCCTCCATGCACACTCAGTGAGACTCTTGTTTATCACTGTGCAGCACAAGCATGCAAAGTCATCTTCACGAGTTTGCCTACCACTTTATAATAAGACTATCCTTATAAAAGGTTTAAAGGTAGTTTGGTAATGGCTATAAATTGGGTCATAAACACCTTAAAATGCATTAATAAGTAGTTATAACGCATAAATAAAAAGGGCAACAATGACTTGTTTCTTGCCAGATAGTGAGACCACATTCATATATCATGTTAAAGGAGAATTCCTTTTTGGAGCATTTTAAAGGTGCCATATACTGCATTTATTCAGTATTTTAAATTGTTCTCTGATGTCTACACAGAAGGTATGTCACTTCGGTCAGGGTGAAAAATGCCCAGATGTGCTTTTACATGCCCATTGGCGAGCTTATGATTTGGCCCTAGAATGAAACAAGCTGTTTTCTCTTTTTTGTTAGGCTCATGAATGATGTGATGAGCTCTGCTCTGATTTGCTGGTTTACAGTGAGGCACCATGATGACTCACACAGAAGCAACATGTCAAAACAGACACAGGCAGGACAATGAAATCATTCTCTGTGTAAATATACGAGGTCATCATACTATTTAGTTAGCTATGCTAGTTACTTGGAGTTTGCTCATGGCTAACATTACCTATACTAGGTACTCGCTTTCAATCTTGACAACAACACAAAGTGGATTATCGTTAATAGCTCACTGTGAAACTTTCAATTAAAGACTTGTTTAAGATTTAAGGCTTCAACAGTCAAAAAGTGGATAAAATCACACAGCATGGCTACTTAGCTACTTACAGGTTGTGGTTGGGGTTGTGATGCCAATAAAGTTGGAACAGTGCCAAAAGCCAAGCGAAGCCTGCTCAATATATTCCAAAGTTTGAAAAACTGTACAGAGTTGCTCAGTCATCATTGTTTACTTCAGGGCTCATTGTTGCCTTTTTTATTGACACTATGTACAAAAATGGACAAAAGTATTGTGACACCTACATATTACACCCACAGAAGCTTTTATGACATCCCATTCTAAATCCATAGGCAATAATATGAAGTTGGTCTCCCTTTGCAGCCATAACAGCTTCCACTCTTCAAGGAGCTTTCTATAAGATTGTGGAGTGTGTCTGAGGGAATTTCTACCCATTCATCCAGAAAAGCATTTGTGAGGTCAGACGAGAGGGCCTGACTCACAATCCCCGTTCTAGTTCATCCCAAAGGGGTTAAGGTTAGGGCTCTGTGCGGGCCAGTCAAGTTCTTACATGCCTAACTCACCCAGCCATGCCATTATGGGCCTTGCTTTGTGCACTGGGGCTCAGTCATGTTGGAACCGAAAAGGTCTTCCCCAAACTGTTCTCACAAAGTTGGAAGCATGCAGTTGTCCAAAGCAATTTGGAGCTCTTTAGCGAGTGATTCAACAGTGGAAAGGCACTCTGCAGCTTGTGTGGTCTACCAATTCGTGGCTGAGCTGTTGTTGCTTCAAGGTATTTCCATTTCACAATAATAGCACTTACAGTTGACAGGGGCAGATCTAGCAGGACAGAAATTTCACAAACAGACTTGTGGCAGAGGTGGCATGTTATGACAGTGCCATGGTTAAAGTCACTGAGCCCATCAGTGACTTTAAACATAGGGGGGTCCAGGACTCCTAATTAACCTCTTGGACCCCCTAAATGTCTCAAAATCCTGGGTCCCTGAAAATAAACTTATTATGATGTTACGCTGTCCATGAGGGTAAAATAGATACTCATATTCAAATTCAGGAAAAGCTCATTGTTTAGCTGCTTCACCCACAGTCAGGGAGCTTCTGTCTTTGGTATTCTTCACTAACTAGAGACACAGCTCTGCTCTGCCTCAGGGTGGCGCTGTAGCAAATTGGCTCACCCAGTTGGTCCTTCATAGCCTATCAACTGTTACTATGCCCAGAATACCTCTGAAATATGTGACAGTGAATGAGTGAATGTTTAAATGGAAATGTTGCTCATTTCTAATGTCTCTTTCAGACATTAGTCTGTTAATTATTGAAAACGTTTCTTTATTTTTCACTGTTATCATCAATATTACTGTCTTGTCAGGCATATGGTTTGAATATTGCTTTGTGGATAGTGTTAATGCTAGTGGTATTAGCGGACGATAGCTAATGCAGGGCTTCCTGAAAGAATTCAGTGTAAACTGAAATCTCCTGCACTACAATCAAACTAAAAAGTGCAAGTTGTCAAAATTAAATGCTTTATAAGTACAAATAACTAAGAAAAAGCTGTTTTGTTTCCATTTAATGTCAGTGTTTGAAGCAATAGATCAGAGACTGGGACTCTCTTTAACACCGGTTTCATACTTTAATCTGCTACCATCAGCTGTTAAACTATTTCTGGTGTGAAATAGCACTCACCACAAGATAGTATTTCCTCAAAACTATCAGACCAATCAAAATGGCCCACGGCTGTAAAACATCCATTTAGGTCACACATGAGGCCTCTTTTACTACTGAACACACAAGAGATCAGAACATTAGATCTCACTGTCTCTCTGTCTAAACAGGAACAATGATTGGATTACTTTTCACTCTTTGCCTCTTTGTAACTGGTAAGGGATTTCTTCAATGGTTAACATATTTATATCACAAACAACATGTTACAGACCTGCTACATATAACTTACCGGTTTATTTTGGCCTTTTTTCAGGAAAAATGTCTGATCTTATTGAGCTTCAAGTACAAAAAGTGAGGCTGGGACATGAAGTGACAATAAAATGTGACCAGAAAACAGCCAAATATAATTTAATTTGGTATAAACACAGTTTGATATCAGCATTACTAGAGTCAAAGAAGAAGATATAGGAATATATTTCTGTGGAAAAGGAAAATCAGCTGCTTTAGAGTTTATATCTGGAACCCTTTTGCTGTTTGCAGGTAACTGTGTTCACACATTCAACTGTCATTGTTGTTGTTTTGTACTTTTTATTGATATTAGCATTATTTCTCTTTACCCTCTACATTTACTGATCTATTTTAAAGATGAGAAAACTGACCATCATCCTCCACCTGAATCTGCTATCAAGAATGAAGAACCTGTTAAACTCCAGTGTTCAGTACAAGCAGTTACTCTGAACTGTTCAGGAGAACACAGTGTGTACTGGATCAGACATGGATCAGGAGAATCTCATCCAGGAATCATCTACATTCATCCACACACCAGAGATGAGTGTAAGAAAAGCTCTGAGACTGATTCTCCTACACAGAGCTGTGTCTACAAACTCCCCAAGAGAAACCTCAGCCTCTCTGATGCTGGAACTCACTACTGTGCTGTGGCTGCATGTGAACATGAAGCTAAATCTAATGGAAAAAGTAAATCGATATATATATAATCTTTCTCTGTGTGGGATTATTTATGTTGTAATGGGATGAAATGATGTCACCCTGATTGGACACTGAGTATGGCCTCAAGAAAACACTTTCATAGTGAAAGAGAAAGTATCTTTTAAAAAAAAAACAATAAACATTAAAATTTACTATGCAACAGAAAACATATTTCCTGTGACAGAATCTTCCTCATATTATGGAATACTTACATGTGGAGCTTCACATTGATGCCTCTATTACCTCAAGATCTATGTCTTCCAGGATTTGTTCAGGAAAAGAGAGGTAAAATAAATAAACTCCATAATTACATCCATATGCATACTGCTATTTACATATATATTACATATATCTGTTTCTCTGTCCTCTTTCTAGCTCTTTTGGGCATTTTTGCTTGCCATTAACAAGAGCACATTTTCCATTAATGTAACATGGAAAAAAATGCTACCCACAATGACAGACGAGGCATATGCTTGAATATCACTTAGTACTCAGTCGGGTTGGCCACTGGATTGCCTACTTTTGTTCACTGGTGTGACGACAGCTTAAGGAAGTGCTAGAAACACAGTGCAAAATCAGTTCTGGTAAACTGCAAAACTGAACATAGCAAAGCAAGTGGAAGAACAGCAGAAAACACTGCAACATCGAGACGCTGGCTTGTGGTCAAAGTGTTAAACAGAGAAGACTAATTGCTATGAGGACTATTAACATGACAATGTGAATGATGTATTTAGTCCAAAGTTCAAGGATGTTTTGCTTATTGTCGAAGGCCACAGTTATTTCTGATAATCTGGTATGTGCATTAATTCTATTTAGACACACTGATAATGGCTTTTGTACAGAGATACTGCACACAGATCTGCAGAGAATAAGAGAGAAAGCTTTTCTATATTAGTCGAAAGTGTTCTTGCTTAGTTTACAGTTGAGCTATTGGAAACTCTGAAGATTCCTCATCTGACTCACTGCTGTTTTTTATGTATATTCTTCTGTGCTGTAAACATGTCTACATTAACATTATGCAAAAAAGACACAGCAGTCAGCCATTTGTGAAGTGTTATTAACATGAGCTGTTGAGGACATGTGACAAACTTGACAACAGTTTATGACTGGTGGCAAATGCAGAAGTGTTAGTGGAAGATGGCCTACTATACAAATGCATTCACTCAGTGACCCAAAGCAGTTATGCCAAGTTGTTTGAGAAACTGGTCTTTCTGCCCATGGCAAATATCTATTATTGCACATTAATGCAGCTTGGATCCTAGAGATGATCTTGAGACAGTGCTGCTCAGAAGTATTACCACACTTGGAAAAGAGGAGGAAGTAAGGCAAAAAGTGTTTATCAGATTGATCTTACAGTAAAAATAAGTGGGGAGTTAAATATTTTAATGCTGAAAAATATTTCAGAAACACTTTTCCTTAATAAATATGAGGAGATATACAGGCCAGACACCTTTTATCATTGATCAGCATGAGGAAGATCAGAGGATACACTATGGCTATGAGGGCACTATGACGACAATAATAATGATGTCTCAAAGTGTTTAGTTCAAAAGAACTAGAGGAATGATGGACCTGCTCAGCCACTTTGGGGCCTCTTATACATGCCATTCACCAGTCAAACATCACTTCCTCTTGAATGCATGTCACAATGCACAATTATCTTCATATGCCAACCTTTGTATGAACTCCTTAACTGTTTCTGGTAACTCTGCCTTACTCCTCTATGTTCATATATATATATATATATATATATATATATATATATATATATACCTCTGCTTATGCTATCAATGTGCATGATGCTTAACACAATTGGTAGTCCACTACACTTTTTTGCTGTTATTGACCTTAAAGAGGCAAAATTACTTAATCATTCAACCGTTTAGATGTAAACAAAATCATTCAGTATGGTTTAGTGTGAAATGCGCCTTTCTAAAGAAATTTAATGAGTCACAATTGTTCACTATTGTAGTGTTAGGAACCAGATGTCTGTATGTCTACATTACAATTATAACCATTTTAACTGCTATCCAAAATGACCAGTGAATTACATGTGTCTTATAGTTTTTATATGTCATGCTGATAATGGTTAAATAGTGCTAAATTTGAAAAAAATACTTTTTTGGGTACTATTTTTTCTTTACAATGCCCTGTATGCCTTTGTGTTGTTTGGGTTGGTGGCATTGCGTCACATGGTGCCAGCAAAACTTAGAGCCTATGTGAGTAACATTATTCATCAGAGAAGCTGTGATAGATCACAGTTGAATGAACTGGTAAGCAGAGTAGCAAGTTTGTTGTTGACACCATCAATTTCCATTCGCCCTGGGTTCTTCTGTTTTGGCACCAGTGGGTTCAGTCTCTCTCTCTCTCTCTCTCTCTCTCTCTCTCTCTCTCGCTGCTGTTAGTCATTTGTGTATTCTGGTTCAAATCAATATGGCTCTAGGACTTTTTGGAAACAGACCTCCTCAAAATCCTCCACACACTTTGCAATCTTCCAAAAAAGGTAAGAATACTGTAAAAATAAAATGTAAACAAAAGCTGAACAGAAAATTCACTGAACAGAAAACGACGCCAAGCAACACTGGAACTATGGAAAGTGAAAAGTGAAAAGGATCAAAAACAGATTGAACAGTCACGTGTTTTCACCAAATCCTCAATATAGATTCAAGATAACACAGCATAATTGAAATTCTGTGATACATATTATTTTTAATTCGATTAAATAGTAAACAATCATGCTGATAAAAACTTTTTGTACTGTGTCACTGTGAATGCAGGGTGAATGCAGCTGCCGTACAAAGATTTTTTGAATCTTTCCGCTTTCCGTAGTTCCAGTGTTGCTTGGCATGTCCGAGGACCTTTTTAAAGGGAATGTGAATTTGAGGGGGAACTGAATCTGATGCAACACCAGCGTTAGCCGTGTTGAGCGGCTGCAGCTACAGGCTTGTAACTACAAAAGCACGTTAGCTGATGCGCATTGATCTCAGTTGAGAATGCAGTTTTGACAGGAAGTAATCCTGGAGTAATACTATATGTCAAAAATACATTTTAGGCCAAACCTTAATAACAAAACTATCACAAAACAATTTCTCAGGTACCAAACAATGCATTTATAACCATTTTGTGTAATAACTCCATGGGATGAAGCTCTTAGAGCCATTAAAGGCTTCTGATGTCTGGTTTCTAGTACTACAATGGTGAACAATTCTGACTCAGTAAATTTCTCTAGAAAGGTGCATTATACACTGACTGACTCTGAATGATTTTATTTACCTCTAAACCATTGAATGATTAAGTAATTAAAATGTAATGAAGATCAATAATTCTAAATAATCTGGACACACATATGTGTGACAGGTAACACATCAGCACTTTTAAAGCTACAGCACTTTTGTTTCTGCTTATGATCTAAAATGCCCTCTGATCTTGTTTACCAGAAAATATATGCACCGATCCAGTTTCCTCACAACCCACTTATTATATTAAGTGCTCATTCTCACACACATTAGCTCTTGTTGTCTGGGATCTTAGTAAATCAGGGCCTTAGTGGCCTTTGGTGGCAGCAACAATGTTGATTTCACTCGATTCTGACTTTGGCTTGTGGTCAAAGTGTTAAGCCGAGAGAACTTACAGCCATAAGGACATGATGATAGTGTAAAAGTCAAAAATTCTAAGAGTGTTTTGCTTGTTGTTGACCATAGTTATTTTTGACAATCTGGCATGTGCATTTATTCTAATTAGATGGTGTCTCATCTCACCTATTGTATTCCCACTGATACTGGCTTTGTACAGAGACACTGCACAGTCTGCAGAGAGTAAGAGACAGAGCTCTTCTTGCAACGTTTCCTGAAAAAACAACTGAAACAGAATAACAAACTTTTATGAACAAAACTGGTCATTTAAAAGGCTTCACCTCTACCACCTTTAAACATCTCAGTAATTTATGATCACCTTGACTATACTAGCATATTTCACAAATGCGTTACTTAATGTGTGAACTGCTTGATAAACACCATCATTTAAAGAAATCAGCTGACTGTCGTGAGTTATTCTTAACACACAGCGCATTCTGAACCCTAAATATGTTTTATCACAATAGCTGTTATTGTCGTTTGTCAAGGCATTGCAAGTTCACGTTTTACAGCAGAAGGAGTCAAGCACCAGCACTGTTCTCTAGCGGAACCCGATAAATCCGTTTATCGAATCAGCACGCAGTATTCGGGTCAGGTGATGCAACACTGCCGCAAATTGTTTTAGGCAGAAACTCAATTGGCTCCATCTCCCTACAAAGTGCAGTACATAGGTCTTAAAATAACAGCTACTGTATCTAAACAGAGCACATTGTGTTTAAAAACCATATTGGATTCAGCCATGTGTGCACAGTTCCATACTGGACATGAAGTGTAACATTTTGGTGTTAAAGTCAAAATTTCATGACTCACATAGTGCACTATATAGGGATCACTGAGCCATTTGAGATTCAGCTTTAGGATTTTCCAAGGTATGATCTTATAGATGTGCAATATTGCCCATTAATGGCATGTTTTTTTGTTGGAGTGCAGCTTTTTACCTGCTTATTTTATGTTAATGAATGTTATATATTGCCTTTAAAAGAAATTTGTATGTATTAATTGGCTTAAAACTTTGAAACATGAAAAGCCTTTGGAGTCATTTGCTTTTAATAAAAAAAAAAAAAAAGTTTAATTTTGTAAGTTACCTGCATTTTATTGAGTTATTTAAACTTAATAAAAAATAACCTAACAGCAGTTTGATGGATATTACCTGGAATTTACAAAGATGTATGAACATTTTGGAGATATCTGTTTTAGCAAATGAGCTCCTCACTTTGTCCATATGGTCACTAGAAGGGAAGCTTCACAACAATAGAAGAACCCTTTTTGGTGCTATTTAGAACTTTTTTCAAAAAGGTTCTATAGAACAACACTCTCTCCATCAATCTGAAGAATGATTTCACCCTGCAAACAACC